GCCTGAGAGGACGGTACCCTCTATTGAGGATTTTACTCACAGACTTTTAGAGTGTGCCATCAGTTGTATCCCACGCATGTCCAGCGCCCCCTGACGTACTCCTGTTCCGTGGTGAACGGAGGAGTGTCGGAGCGCCATCCGGGCGCGTAAACGTGCGTTTCGGGCTTTTGACGCCAGGAGCAGTGTCGAAAACCTGATAGCTTTTAAGAAAGCGAGAGCTTTAGCTCAGCGCATTGTAAACGAGGCGAAGCGTGCTTCCTAGCGCGCGTACGTGAGCACGCTAAACCGCTTTACGCCGACATCACAGATTTGGGCCCGGATCAAACGTATTTCGGGTCAGTTCTCACCCATAGCTCTGCCGGTGTTGTGTGTTAACGGCCAGGCTGTGACGCGCCCGTTGGATGTTGCGAATGAGGTTACCCGGGCCCTGGCCCAACGCAGCGTAGGTGGCAACACGAACCCACGGTTTGTGGGGCACAGAAAGCGATGTGAGCAACTGCAGTGGACTTCTCAACGAGTGAATTGCGTTCATATAATGACCCTTTCACGCTGGTCGAGTTGGAATCGGCGATCGCCAGGCTTCGCAGCGTGCCAGAAGGCCCGGACACTGTGCATAACGACATGCTTAAGCATCTGCCGCGTCGCGTGCTTCGCGTTTTATTAGCGGTCTTTAATTCGCTTTGGACCGGAGGTGAATTCCCTGCATCTTTGAGAGGAGCTACTGTCGTGCCTCTCTTGAAGCCGGGAAAAAGTGGGCTAGATCCTTTACATTATAGACCCATTTCTCTTACGTCATCCCCCTGTAAGTTGATGGAGAAGATGGTTAATGTCCGTTTAACCTGGTTTTTGGAGCATCATGGCATTTTTACAGACGCAGTGTGGTTTTAGAAAGAATCGCAGCACAATGGGTAATCTTTTAGTTCTTGACACTGCGATTCGTGGGGGGATTTAAAGCGAATCGACACACTGGCGCTGTCTTCTTTGATGTAGAGGACGCCTATGACACCACATGGCGTCATGGCATTCTTGTCAAGCTATATAGGTATGGTATTCGCGGCAATATGGGCACGTTCCTTCAAAAAAATTTAGTTGACCGTTATTTCAGTGCCTGTGCTGAAAGGGCGCTCTCTGAGAGACACCAAGTTAATGGTGTGCCGCAAGGTGATGTCCTGAGCGTATCACTGATCGCCGTTGTGATAAACGATGTCGGGGTTGGGCCGCCACATTCTGTAGGTCGTGCCCTTTTTGTTGATGATTTTGCCATCTGGACTAGCACAGCAAGAGCTTCATCGATGGAGCGGCGTCTTCAGTTGGCTGTGGATCGCATCGAGAAGTGGGGCACCATAAACGGGTTCAGGTTTTCTAGCAACAAGACTGTAACCATGCATTTTTGTCGTAGTCGACAATGCGGCAATATGTCTATCCGTCTGTGTGGCCAACGCATCTCAACGGAGCCTGTGGCTAGATACCTTGGGGTATACTTTGACCGCCGACTGGCATATAAGTCACATGTTAAGAAGCTACGTGAACGTTGTTTTAAATCCTTGAACTAAATCCTAAACTAAATCCTAACTAAACTAACTAAACTTAACCTAACAAAACTATCTAAATCCTAGAACTAAACTGAAAAAACTAAATCCTAAAATGTGTTTCGCCCACATCGTATGGGGCAGATAGAAGCACGCTTTTGCTATTGTATCGCTCAATCATACGTTCTAAGCTGGACTGCGCATGTTTTATTTATGATAGCTCGTGTGAGTCCACCAAACGCGCCCTGGACACTGCTCATCACACCGCTTTACGTGTAATCACAGGAGCGTTCCGCACATCACCTGCAGCGAGCCTCATGGTGGAATCGCACGAGCCGCCCTTGTCAGCGAGAAGGAAAATGCTTGGTATGCGTTATGCACTTAAGTTGCGACAATACGGCACATAACGCAGTTTTTTCACGGTCTGCTGTGCATTTTCTTCACAGTGCACCTCGGGCACATGCTGTAACCTTTGGCCTCCGAATATGAGCCTTGCTACGGGAAAGCGAAATTCCCATTCGAAGATTGAAGCGGGTAGATCATCCGTCCACTGCTCCCTGGCGTTTGATCTCGCCATCAATAGATACGTCTTTGGCCGAAATGAAAAAGAATGTCGTCTTGCCAGATATAATGAGGTCGAGGGCACTTGAGCATATGGCGTTATATGACGGTTACACACTTACTTACACGGACGGATCTAAAACTTCTGGCGGCGTGGGTTGTGCGTTTGTGGGCGGCGGCGTCACCCGGTCGTTTTCCTTGCCTCCACACGCGTCGGTGTTCACATCGGAGTTGATAGCGATCTCCAATGCGTTGTGTTTCATTGAAGTCAGTGACGAACCTTCACATCTGATTTTGACAGACTCTCTGAGCAGTGTTCTTAGTCTGAGGTCTTTTAATCCATCATGTCCCCTTGTACAGGATAACTTAGGACGTTTGACTCAACTTGATGAGGCCCGAAAGAAGGTTATTTTGTGTTGGATCCCCAGTCACATGGGAATCGCCGGCAACGAGGTGGCTGACGTGGCTGCAAGGCGAGCAGCGGTGGCTCCATGTGTACGTTCTCTCTCTATCCCTGCCGGAGATTTTTACCCTGCAATAAAAACATTTCTGCAGAACGAATGGCAGCGTTGTTGGGATGGGACAAATGAAAATAAGCTCAGAGAAATAAAACCCGAGCTGGGCCAGTGGTTATCATGTTCTCGCAAAGTCAGGCAAGAAGAGGTGGTGCTCTGCAGACTACGTATTGGGCACACGTATGCAACTCAGTTATTTGTTGCAAGGAGCCGAAAGGCCTATCTGTCATCAATGTGGTGCTGTTCTCACCGTTCGGCATGTGCTTATATCATGTCCGCGCCTCATGGAAGAACGTCGACGATACTTTGGACAGCGTGACTCGCCCTTCACGCTCTGTGACATTTTAGGAGCCAACTCGCGCCTTCTTGAATCTAAACAAGTCTTTTTATTCCTTAACATATCAACTTCGGGACTCTTAACACGGTTCATTAGTTAGGTAAAACAAAAATCGTTATGGGCGCCAAATGACCACTGCAGTCGGCGCGCCCGAAAACACCAATCAACAACAACAACAACAACGATTTTCGGTCGGTGCGTACTTGCCACGAAAGCGCGAGAGCGCTCCCAAAACATTATGCGCAGGAAATGTCAAAACCCATAGATGTACAGGACTAGACAGGACAGGTGAATGGAGTGGTCAGCTCGCTGATATGTAAGGCCGGCCGCCATATTGGAGCAGTCACAAAACATGGACTCGTTTGTCATTGCGGCGCATGGGGCGAGGTCTCCAAGTAAGATCGCGAAACCAAAAATTAAAGCTGGAGCCAATTTCATAGGGCTTTATGAGATAAAGTAATATGTCAACGACGCTGCACCATATATTTGTAGCACTTCATTGCTGTCATGTAAATGTGATACGCGCGTGCAGAAATCCCCACCGCCGGCCTCCACGACCGGTGCCTGTGCGGACGGGCCGCCGTGCGCACACGGAGCGGTGGTGTTGCCGCTATCTCCCTGTCTACCTGGCGTTCTAGTACCCCGCAGGGGCCGGCTGCAGACGCATCCGACGTGTGCGGGCGACATCCACTCGGGAAGCCTGTGGGGCGTGGGCCCACCGCTGCTGACCGCCGCCGCGCCGTCGCTGACCTGGGTGGTTCCGCCGCGGCCAGCAGAGTATCCGTGGGACTGCCGTCCCACCTGGCGTTCATATGACAACTGCCGTAGGGTTTCCCCGCGCCGTCGCTGACCGTCGCCGTCGCTGACCTGGGTGGTTCCGCCGCGGCCAGCAGAGTATCCGTGGGACTGCCGTCCCACCTGGCGTTCATATGACAACTGCCGTAGGGTTTCCCCGCGCCGTCGCTGACCGTCGCCGTCGCTGACCTGGGTGGTTCCGCCGCGGCCAGCAGAGTATCCGTGGGACTGCCGTCCTACCTGGCGTTCATATGACAACTGCCGTAGGGTTTCCCCGCCGTTGTGCCGGATTCCGCCCAGGGGCGCGATATCTATACGGCCGTGGTGTGTGTCGGCCCACCTGGTGCGCCGGTGATGCTGCCGGTGTCCATGGGTCGGCAGCCGTGCATGTGGCTCCGACGTACGAGTCGCTGCCGGATCTGCAGCATGCGGGGCGTGGTGTCGCTCTCCGCTCCCTCGGCCAGTTCCACGGTATTCAAAGAAAGATGGAGGACACAGGCACTTGCATCCCTCAGATGTGTTGGGCGGGCTTACACACTAATAATTAGCACAATAACGGGAATGATACATCCGATAACGCAAATTCACATTTTAACTATCCCATAATGTCATGATGCCTTGCAGTCTAACGCACATATTAATCACCTGGCAATGCCATGAGTTACGTGAGTTATCCATTTCATAATGCTACAGCGCTCCTTGATTCAATTCCTGCATCAATCGCCCGATGATGTAGCTGCAGCGAATCTGTCGTCCTTCAACAGGGACAACACTTCTTCGCGGTCTTTCATGCCGCAACGTCCAAACTACGGAACCGCCGGTCAGATTTTCTTCAAGCCAACACCAATCGAAAGCTAGAATGCGGTTTCTTCAGTCCATGACCAGTCCACGATCGAAGAGGTGTGAGAATTATGGAAGAGGATATCTGTTGGATACGCCACAAGATAAATACAGGCTGAATGGCGCGGATACATGTACATATAACGCGGATACATGTATATATAACGCGGATACATGTACATATAACGCGGAAATCTACGGATACATGAAGGCGCCTACAGCTGGCGTAATATTTTCTGAACAGCGCTGCTTTAGTCGCTTTTTTCGCCGGTTCTGGTTCCTTTGCAGGCGTCATTACACAGTTTCGCCTGGTAGTGAAGACACGCCAATCGGTGTGTGGCCACCAGGATCATGATCAGCTCGGTGTGATGGTTTTCCAAACGATACTGAGTTTCCAGGGGGTGGTGGCCGGGATCGCATACTTCATCGGTACCGATGCGGCACGCCACCACACTCTCCAGCACCGTCCAGCTGCACAATATACCTCAGGCACACCACCACACTATCCAGCACCGTCCAGCTGCACAATATAGCGCCGGCACACCACCACACTCTCCAGCACCGTCCAGCTGCACAATATAGCGCCGGCGCACCACCACACCATCCAACACCGTCCAGCTGCACAATATAGCGCCGGCACACCACCACACTCTCCAGCACCGTCCAGCTGCACAATATAGCGCCGGCACACCACCACACTCTCCAGCACCGTCCAGCGGCACAATGTAGCGCCGGCACACCGCCACACTCTCCAGCACCGTCCAGCTGCACAATGTAGCGCAGGATCTCCTCCTGGGCGCTCAGGATCACCTCTTGATGGCTCCTGCGGGGATCGGCCCTTCACGGTTACCTTTCAGAGATCAAGGACACGAAATCCGTATCACCGAAAAGTTACCGGCCGATTTCGGATCTTTAAGCACCCGGATCGTTTCAGCGCATAAGCTAACGTTCGTCGATAATGTCAGGCCATTTTTTGTTTCGTTTTTAGCGAAACCGGAAATCGACCCAAAACGAATTGGTAAACAAATCGCTAACTTCACGGACAAGCCAAAGTCCACGCCCGTCGGAGAGGCATTGCACGTGACGTCGATGCAGCAGCTAGCAGTATGAAGTTCTGTGGCCAGCGCATGGCTGCCCGGCTCTCTGATCTGGCATTTCCCAGCTTGTCGCCTGGCCGGTCCCGTTTAGTTTTAGTGTGTTACGCATGTGGCCCGGACGTGGCTGTGCGGTCCAGAATGCTGGTTCACGCGCTACGCGTTATTCTGATGCTTAAGAAATCCGAAATCGTTCCGTAACTTCTGGGTGATACAAAGTTATTCCTTCTTTGATCGCAAATGTGGTCTTAATGGCACGCGATATTGCAAAATATACTCGGATTCGGTGTTTTTTTGCCATTGTTGACCGTCTGGCATATTTCTAGCGGCGAGTATTGGAACTCGTTACCAATTCTAGACCACTAAATAAATTGCTAACTTATCGACCATGACTGGTGCCATGCCTTACGTGTATGACCCATTTGTGTATGACCCATTGGGCTGTCATTTGTCACTCAAATAGCCCAAGCCCGGCGCGTCGTCCGGCCGCCAGTGTCACATGTCTACGGAGGAGAGATCATGTGCCATTAACTCGGCGTTCGAACCGCGAACGACTGGTTTCTGCACGGGCCCTTACTGGATTATGAAATAACGCATTGCATCGCCGCTCGTGGATGAAGTGAGCGCATCGCATTACTCGTATCTGACAATTGTATCAAGAACAATCGCATGACGTACCCCTGGGTTACATGTCACTAATGGTATGCCCTAAACATTTGCACAATGGCGCAGCGTTTAAGGCGCCGGATTTTGTTTCCTGTGTGACTTTGTCTACGATTTGCTTCCATAGCAGAGTGGCATAATTGAAATCACCGTCTTCTGTCGACAACGAACTTGCATGCACGTGACAGAACTGTCGCCACCATTTCACGCACTTGCTCAAAAGCCATACCACCAAAATATGAATTCTGCGTTTCCCGAGTGGCTGTGAAGAACCATGTGAAGACGACTGGCAGTACGGTCCGTGGGGTCAACCCCTCGAGCTGTGCGATGTTTCCTGAACTGAAGGGGTGGTGCGGAGCGAACCACCTGGAGGGGCTTCCAGTGCCAATAGAACCAACCCCGACGCCTATCACTAGCTGCGGTGTGGAGAGGTCTGCAGATCGAGTTCAGTAGAGAGCTTGTCAATTCACGGGAGAAGAAGCAACACACAACCGGCTTGCGGTCATGTGATGATGAGAACGTTGGTGGAAGCCATCGCAAAGTTGCCGCGATTGAAGGTCGTGTCTTTCACAAAATACGAAGCAGTCCAACCGCGCATGCAGCCGCGCGTTTTTCTGCATTTCAGCGCGTGCTGTTTCGAACCATCGCGATGGACGATGCATTGTCCACGATGACTTTCCCGTCCTGTATTTTTTGACATCGTTTTGGAGATGTGACACCGGTTCGAAGAACTAAGGAAGAACATTTCGAAGAAGAAAAAAATCTCCAATTTCTGCAAACATTCTTTTGGACCAAATATGAAGACTCGTGTCCATTTGCAACCTACTTGCGTGCATCAGAAACGTGGATTGTAATAACGACTATTGCTATCGCCTCAAAAGATACGCAGACTCTCAGTGCTTTTCCACAGTCCGGCGACTATTGCCTTCGCTTGGCCACCAGACGTGCCACGTGCAATGCTCGTTGCCACAAGTCATATTCTTGACCTTGCTACCAATCTCCCCAGCATTTGTCTCCAATCATCAACACGGAATGTCAGTATGACGTGATGTATGTCACTATAAAACGCGCGGAAACTGCTGCACCCAACACTTCTCCGCAGGCATCTACAGTACATGTAGAACTCGCAACCCATGGGGCGAGAAGTGCCGCAGTAGAACACCGCCAGCCATTCCACACACGGATATTTAACTTACTTTGACCTAACAGTCTCCAAAAACACTACAGGAAGCATATTTTGAACATGTTTCATCCATTTCTCACCATTCAGCCCACGAAAAACATACCAAATGCTCCCAAAAACAGGTAAGTTCTCACCCTCTACTCGGGGGCAGCGCAACTGGCAGTGATGGAGGGAAGGAAAAGTGCGATATTTTCCGCCCTACAATAGCCGATAACACCGACCAAAAACCTGCTCCCACGCCATGCGGTGATTCTCAACAGGTTCATACAAGATGCGATGAAATGATCATGGCGGGTCATATCCGCAACAGCTTCATTGTCACGAGACTCCCTCGCCCGCACCGGGGTAGTGTTTAGCACGGCACCAGCACTCCCGCCGGGTCCCACTGTGCGCGGTGTGGCCGGCACGGGGCTGGCGGCGGCACCTCACACCTCTGCCTCCTCCGGTATAGCGGTCGGATCAGGCTCGGTGGGCAGCCGGCGGCGGGCCGAGCGGGCCGCACTGCCGCCTGTCGCGCCCACGCCGTCCGTCTCTCCCGGTCGCATGCGTGTCAGCGCCACAATCGGCGACATCCGCAAGATGGCGCTCACGTCGCGGTCGACGAAGGTCAGGTCGGGCGCACCGCCGGCCGCGCGCGGCGTGCTGATGGCTCGCAGCGCGCTCCGCGCTCCGCGCGCCGGGGCCGCCAGCACCGGAGAGGCCGGGTTCGCAGGCGGCGGCGACGCGTCCCCATCGGGTGGCGCGCCGGCGTCAGCGTCAGCGTTCAGTGCGGCACCGGCATCGGCATCAGCATCGGCATCAATATCGGCATTGGTACCAGCGTCGGCGTCAGCACCGCCGTCAGCGTCGGCGTCGGCCTGGGCGTCGGGCACGGTGGCGGCCGCGGCCGCGGCTGCGCGGCCGGCCGACAGCCGGTGGGCGGACCGCATGGCCTCCACGAGCACGCTGTGGAAGCGCTTGTTGCGCGGCGTGTCTGTGGGCAGGCGGCCGGCGTCGCCAGACGGGCCGGCCGCCGTCGCCGCCGCCGGCCCCTCGCGCGTCCGCTCCTGCCCGTCCAGCCGCCTCAGGTCGAACTCGATCTCCTTGGCCAGCTGTTTGTCGCCCACCAGGATGTCCTGGATCTGCGGCAGGTGACAGACAGACGTCACGGGGCTGTGGGACCACGGCATCGCAGGCCCAGGCTCACCAGCCCCCCCCCCCCCCCCTGAAGACGCTGAGGTTTGCGGCAGGCGCATCACCTGTGGAATGCTGGGAGAAGACCCCGTCTGATGCAGACATGGATTGGCATCAGCTGACATGGAGAACACCAGTGATGCATCCCTTCACCTTACCAATTTCATCAAATGACATTACCAGTTTATCAACTGCAAAACAATTATAACCACGTAACTCATTATATCAAACAAAGCCGTACCTATCGGGACATCTGGCTTCTGTCACCTGTCACCGCCAGCGTTTGGAGCAGCAAGGACGGCACAAAATGAATGACAAACCCTGCCATACCTCATTCTTGTAATCCTTCATCAGGTCCTTCAGGTAGATCATGAGCTCTTTCAGCAGCGGCGAGCGCGCCGTTTCTAGCTTGTGCTTCAGCGCGATGATGATGGGCACCATATTCTCAATGACGTTCTTCTTCACCACCTGCCGACCGAACGAGGGCTGGTCACTCGGATTCCGCGCACAACATGCCGTCACGGGCCGCACGACATCCTCACATAGCACGAGGGCACACCGTGGGAGAGCGAAGGACCAGGGGCGTGCCACTCTCACTGATTTGCTGGAATACCCTTGATGACTCCATGGTGAGCGCTTCAGGCAGCCCACTCTATCCCCGCAAAGTTTATAATGCCTGTGGTTGATCATCGGCACGACATTTTTCGCCCACGTGGAAGCAATCGCAAGCGATTGACTTGCGCCATGCTCCACAAATTTGATGGACGCTTCGCATAGCAGGTGCATTCAAAACGAATACCTGCTTCACGACAAATGACCATCTGTAAGTTCAATTCCGATTTGCTGTCTGACGCTGCACATGGCGCTTAAGTTTGACACCATATATGGATACTATCTGTCATGCAAACACGGATATCATAGCGAAAGGGGTTACTGGGCAGTGGACGCCGATCTTCATAACAATTAATAGAGTTTGCAACACGTCATGACAGGAAAGAACCGCGACATCTACATGAAAGCATGTCATGGGTCATAAATTAAGTTCCGATACCAATAAGCCCAGATTAAATGGAGTCCAAACCAAATCATGAGGCACCATCGGTCCGGAAATAGCCAGTGCGCGTGCAACACCAAGCGTCGGATCTCCCAAGCACTGCGCTGTTGGGGAGCCAAGACCTTCTCCACTGGCGGCCAGCCCGGCTCAGCTCTCATGCCGCAGTCCCCCGGCCACGCAGCCCGTGACGTCACACATTCACACAGGGCTACAGTCAGCCGCGCCGCCCAGCACACCGCCCGTCAGTGGGTCAGAGGCCTACGCTGGGAAGCAAGCGACGCTACCCTACACAGCAAGCGGCCGGGCCGGCCGTGTCCGGGGCCGGGCCAGCGGCGGCGCGCGGACCGGCCGGCCGGCCGGCAGAGACTCACGGCACGCACAGCGGCGCCCTGCGGAACACACCGGCCGTCACTGACCCTGCGACACGGGCCGCCCCGACGCACCGCCGCCGTACAACAGTCAGCCCGGCGCCAGCCAGCACACGCCGCTCACGACAGACACATCATGGCTGGCAAAGGGCGGCGCTACCAGGGCAGGGGAGATCAGCTACTCCGGACAGGGGGACTCGAGGATGAGCTGCAGGCCAAAACGTGGTCACGGCTCTTCCACACCGCCGCATGCCGTCTTTTCCACGGCACAGACGCGGGTTTAGATGCCGACGCAAAACGCATCTACGTGGCGGCATGCATCGTAGCTGTAGCGTAATACTACGTTCTGTGCGGGCCGACGTGCTCGCAGTCTGTGACCGACGTCACGTGTGGTGCGGTCCACCGAGTAGCAGCGTGCGAGGCAATCAATGAAATATGAGGCTGCACAACCGGAACACCGGAATATTCAAAACAGGAAGCTCAAATGATACCATTTTCCTTCATTTCGATCTACGAACATCTCGACATTCGATTTGCTTTCTTCGCTGGCCGCCAACAATTCCTTTCGGAAGATGTTGACACGTTTAAATTCAACATACCTGAACCGCGCAAACAAGTGAAGTAAGAAACCGTTAGAATGACGATCTGACTTCTCCAACTCTGCTCATTTTACGTTCGGAAGTTCAGCAAAAACATCCCTAAAAGATTCCAACCATAAATAATTAGACCCTTTTGCTTTTGCCTCAGACCCTTTTAACATCCCTTTTGCTTTACCACAACACAGCAACGTTTTCGGTGGGCACACGTCGCATGCGGATCACACATACATGACACCATGCTTCAGTCAGTTATTTGTCGTCCCCTTGACAGATGCATGACTTTCGACAAGGGGTCGTGTAAGACCCACTGCTGGGAGGGCTGCCTGCTCGGCCGGCACGACTGCGTCTGGCCAGCCGGCCGGCGACCTTCGCCCGGACGGCGGCCGGCCTTACCTGCGAGATCAGCGTCTTCTTGGCGACGGCCTGGAACACCTCGGCCATGCCGCTGGCGTCGGTGGCCGGCTCGTGGTCGTCGGGGCGCGCCTTCAGGCTCTGCAGCTTGATCTCGTCGCAGCTGAGGATGGCCAGCGTGTCGCGCAGCAGCGGCGCGCTGGCCTCGCCCAGCGCTATCTTGCCGTCCACCACGTCACCTGGCGGCGGGCGGCGCGCCGTCCGGGTCACCGTCGTGGCGCGGCCCACGGCCCGGGGCGTACGCACGCACGCACGCCGGAACCCACTGCATGACGCGCCGTCCGGGTCACCGGCGTGACGTGGCCTACGGCCCGGGGCGGGCGCGCGCGCGCGCGCGCGAGCACGCACGCACGCACGCACGCACGCACGCACGCACGCACGCACGCACGCACGCCGGAACCCACTCCATGACGCGCCGTCACGCCAGCACGTGGGCGCTGCCGCCTTCTGCGAGACCCTCCAACGGCGTCAAACGGAACGGAGTGGTCTGTCGATCCAGACCGCACCCAGGCCTGCAGCACACGCTACAGATCGGACGCGACGCGGTCAGCGCGACGGCGGGCCATTCCACAGGCATCTCGCTCGTCTGGCTTCCGTCACCGACTGACACATGCGCAGGCATCTGAAGACCAGCCGCTCGCTGGGCGAGTCCTCAGCCAGGCCTACGACCGCTCCCCGCCCCGGCCTCGATCCCGGTCCCGCCCCCGGCCCCGGCCCCGGCCCCGGCCCCGGCCCCGGCCCCGGCCCCGGCCCCGGCCCCGGCCCCGGCCCCGGTCCCTGCTTCTGCTCCTGCCCCGGCCCGCTCCCGGCCTCGGTCGCACCGCACGCCGCCAGCACTCACCCAGGATATCCTGGCAGAGCTTGTGCGACGTCTGGAAGCGCTGGTCGTCCGGCATGTGCTCCAGCATGAACTTGTAGATGAGCAGGCGACTGCCACACTGCTCGGGGCCACGCAGCGAGAACAGCTGGCGCTCGCGCTCCGTCTGCGGCAGCTTGTTATACGACTCGTGCTCCTGCCGCCAGCCGGGCAGATCAGATCAGGTCAGGTCAGGTCAGGTCCACAGGGCGGCAGTGACGACGCCCATTGGTCTCAGCCGGCGGACCGCGCGCTTGGTCAGCTGACCGGGGCCAGCCCACTGCGTTGCCTGCCGCGAGCAACACCAGTGCTCCCCCAAATCGTGTCCCTTTCCCATAAAGACAAGTGCAGTCGGACTGGTGGACTCGTCACACGTGCGGCTATATGAACGGTTCTCTACTTGCCTGAGAACCGCGCATACCGTTCAACTGGTGCCGTCCGGTGGGCTTGCCATTTTGACAGCATCTGCATTGGTCTACATGCAAAGTTTTCTCACAAGCCTACATAGCAACCACGGCCACGCGACACTCGGCCAGCAGACATCGGGCCCAATTCCTTGCGAGAATAGAGCGACAAAACTGTCCGACCGGTGGACGGCCGACGAATCACAGATCGTCCGTACCTCGTACTCGTTGTAGAGGAACAGGCACTCGACGAAGTGCTGGAAGAACACCTTGGGATGTCGCTTCAGCAGCCGCTCCGTCAGGTAGAAGCATATCAGCTGCCGCATCTCCGGCTGCGGAGAGCGTGACGCAGTCAGTTAGCGCACGCTTGGCAGGGTCTTGTCCGCGGACGTAGATTGGGATGGACAGACAAATTCTGGTCCAGCAACGGACTATGCTAATCAGCTCGCAGCCAGTCGTTCTATATAAAGGTCAGAAGTAGTCCCGGGCCGCGTTCCTCATCGGCGAAGTACCTACTTGAGTTGTTACCTCTACGTCGCAAGTACCTACGTCATACATAAGCGGCTAATCCCCAAGCCGCAGGAGCCGTTGTGACGCAATTACCTGCGACGTCATAGGTTGCAACTTGTGGACAACTGTTAACACGCGCTCGGGTGGCCGGCTAGATACCCTTCGCTCGGGTGGGGGGGGGGGGGAGGGGGGGTCAATTTGACCCCCTGAGATCTCGGGAACAAGAAAGCTAGACACCAAATTTACACGGTGTGTCGACCTGTACGTGAACTCACTTAGGTCAAAGTTTCAGGTTCTTAGGTCATGACCTTCGGGTAAAAAAGGTCAAACAAGGCCAAATTCCAGGTTGGTCTCCAAAGTGTTCTCAGAACCTAGATAACCGTTTCAAAGCAAAAGTTCACATGCTCATTCAAGGTCAGTAACCTTGTTTGACCCTAAGGTCATGGTGACCAAAATCATGCAAGATTGCTTGAGTTTTGCATTTGACTAAGCAACAAAGATAGCGCTAGGCAGTATGTTCCCAAACAAAATGTTGACCTGGGTTATTTTAGGTCAATGACCTATTCTGACCTCCAAGAAATCCATGGAAGATGTATAATGCGGTTCCTGCTATCAATAAATTCGAAATGAGCACCAGAAACTACCCCATACAGCAAGCCGTAGGGTAACAAAACAGGCTGGCTTTGCCCTTGGTGTGACCGTTATACCTGACCTTAGGTCAATATAATTTGTTCATTGAACTGTTGTATTGCCTAAGAAAGCATCTCAGAGATGCACGGCTTCGTCTAACACTCCGCTGTTAGATCAGATCGAAGAATTCCCTAGAAATTGCCTTCGCTGAAACCATGGCTCGAGTTTGACCTGCCATAGGTCAGTGATCTTAGAAGGTATACCAAAATTTTTGATGACAAACGATCCGCTATTCAGTTGTCTACATCTATGCAAAATTTGGCGCAGCCGCGCCGCGCTGTTCGGAAACCATTCTGGAAAAACCTGCGGGGGGATCAATTTGACCCTCCCCGCCCGAGCGCGTGTTAAGGGGAATGGGGAATGCAGCCCAGCTAGTTAAAGTGTATTTTGGCGAGGACAATAATAATGCCATCAACTGGAGTACAACACACTTTTTGCGCTGCGTAATAGTTTATTGGTCATCCGGAGTCTGTCCATCGCTTCAGTCAATACGACCTTGGTTGAGATAGTGTCCTTGGCAGCCGTCATTATGACATGTGTGTATTGCTCTGTGAGGTTATCGGTGTCTCCCTCTAATAAACTTTCGCCGTCCAAACTCAGGCATTTCATGCCAGACGCCACGCAGACGTCTAGTCAGCTATTATGCTAGTAGCTATTACTAGCTAGTCAGCTATTATCGTAGTCTCAAATCGTTTTTCGATGGACCACCTACATGGAAGAAGCAGAGAATGGAAAGTGGTCAAGGCTTGAGAAGGAGGATAGCATTGTGACGTTCACCAATGCGCCAACGTCGACAGCACAGTAAACGTCCCTCAGGTCAGCTGTGTGTGTGTGTGTGTGTGTGTGTGTGTGTGTGTGTGTGTGTGTGTGTGTGTGTGTGTGTGTGTGTGTGTGTGTGTGTGTGTGTGTGTGTGTGTGTGTGTGTGTGTGTGTGTGTGTGCGTGTGCGTGTGCGTGTGCGTGTGCGTGTGCGTGTGCGTGTGCGTGTGCGTGTGCGTGTGCGCGCGTGTGTGTGCGCGCGTGTGTGTGTGTGCGCGCGCGCGTGCGTGCGTGCGTGCGTGCGTGCGTGCGCGTGCGTACGTGCGTGCGTGCGTGCTCGTATATGTGTCTTTTGGGGATGCTTTCAGTAAACCGGTCAACGTAGGTCTCGGAGTCGGCCTGCCTTGAGGTTTGGTTGGGATAAATACAATACAAGACGAAGACATTTCCCCCTTCTCGATTTTCGATGTAATCTATTCCTGGCCGTCCAGTTCTAAGTGGTGTAGTCGTATCATTGGGATCTGGACCTTTGTATCCGGATTTCCAGCAGCAGAGAACAAAAAATCCCACGCCAGGCGAAATCCGGCTCAAGTGTCTCCAGTGGTGACTGCTGCTTGTGGAGTACCCAACCACGGCCTAACGGTCACGTGTGGAGCGCCAAACCACGACCAAACGGTAACATGTGGAGTACCCAACCACGGCCAAACGGTCACATGTGGAGCACCCAACCACGGGCCCAACAGTCACATGTGGAGCGCCCAACCATGGGCCAAACGGTCACATGTGGAGCGCCCAACCACGGACCGAACGGTCACATGTGGAGCGCCCAACCACGGCCAAACGGTCACATGTGGAGCGCCCAACCACGGGCCAAACGGTCACACGCGGAGTACTCAACCATGGGCCAAACGGTCACATGTGGAACCCCAAACCACGGACCAAGCGGTTACATGTGGAGCGCCCAACCATGGACCAGCCACTTGTGGCGCCCAACCATCGGCCCAACGGTCACTTACATTAGACGATTACCATTCTTTTGGTGCCTCGTTGTTGTTCTCATGGAGCCCATGGTGAATCTACCATCCACACCCGAATACTGCATTACGCAGTAGACGATGCCCTACATAATACCTACATCAGATTATAGGAACCTGACACTCAAAAGTTCGCGCTTTTCCAAGACGAAAACGCCTGAACAAGAGCGTATTTTGACAAGGCGCACCTGAGTAAATTGGCACATGCCAGAATGGTCTCTGCCGGCGCCGAGGGAGTTCACACCAGCGACTCATGTCTGCCGACCTCCGGAAATGAACCCCCACGTCTGTAATAGTGTTGGCCATGCCACGTGGCGTGGTTTCGTGGAGGAGCAACCGTCGTCACCGAGCCTGACACTGGAAGAGAGGGTAACAGACTGGAGCCCCTGCACCAGCCAACCCACCTCAGGGTCCAGCAGGCACTGGATCAGGCGGAAGAAGAAGGTACCCTTGAGCTTGAGGTAGTCCTCCTGCAGGAGGCGGATGAGCAGGATGAGCGTGTTGCGCCGCACAACCAGCGACTTGTCCTTCAGGCAGCAGGTCACCTGCGGCATCAGCGGGTCCACCAGCGTCGCGTACCTACCGGAAACAAACATGTCAGCCACCTCACAGACCGACGGCCAGCCATCACGCCCTGGTACCACACACACTGCGTGGCAAGTACACTGGAAGCAGCTGCAGAGTGGGAATTCTGATCTGAAGGTTCAGAGTCACAGTACTTTTTGGAGTAGGAGATGAGCTTTTGGCATCCGTTTGCATTCTACAAAGTCGGGTAAAAAGGAAGCATTTGAATTGGGGTATTAGCATATGTCGGCAAAATCGGCTTACTACCACACAAGCGTGGCTGTCCGATGCTCCCGGAGGAGTGTCCCGAGGTATGCTGCCAGAGGATGCTCCCGGGGATGATCCGGGGGATGCTCCCGGGGATGATCCTGGAGGATGCTCCTGGGGGCGTCTCCAGCCCGACTACGGCCCACGGAGATGCGATGGTAGACAAGGTTGGCGCGTATGCGGCGTATACAATACTACGGACTACGAAATTGCAGATGGAGCACGGCAGACACGAGGCCAGATAGGAAAGCCTTGCGATCGGACTATGAGTGAGGACGGCTGGGACATCGTGGATGGACGCTGGTAAGAAATTGGCTTCAGATGGCTTGTTGAACGGCATAAATCAATGTGACGTGTGCGTCTCTGGTACTTCTTACTCAAGCCCGGCTCACACCAGCTCTGTTAGGGTTACAGACCACCGCTGTGCAAAAAAAAATATATATATATCTAGACAAATATCTCTGCGCAAATCTCCAGCCCGTGTTAAGATATGGTAACCCCGGTCGATCTGGCCACCTCCGAAACGACTCTTCACAGTTACGGAGCGGGCCGAAAATTCCAAACTATTAACGGAGTACGGACGGGGAAGACGTGGCTTCGGACGTACGAAGGAAATGAACTATTTGCGTTTTGTTGTGTGAACTATTTAAGAGGAAGATCTGCTTCCCTTGGTGTATTTGGAAATGGAGGAAAACCGCGGGAGAGTGACATGGGTGCGAGAGCCGTCGCTACGACGCGGGGTGGAAGGGGGTGGGGGTGAGGGGTGGGGATAATCATATAGCAACGATCACACATTTCATGTAGAATGTAAGAGTGAACTGCAAGGCAGCATGGGAAAGTTCATACAATCTCCTCATAGAGCACTGAATATTTGCCCACAACAAACGTTTGAACCTTAATAGGAGTCGCAATGATTTAGTTCACTCACACGCGTGCGTTTAAACTTGAAATGTGCCCGTGGCACATTAACGGCATGCGGTGCGCAGTCAGGCAGTCCAGGTTCGCACCCGGTCCGCACTGTCACGGAGGTGCGGTGGGGCTATCAACGCCTCTGTGCATGTACAGTTTTTAGGCTTCTCCCGCCTTTGCGGACGGGTGCCTTTCCGGAGGCGTTGCGGAGTCATTACAGACTCGGTGTGAACAGGCTTTAGTGTGGATCATGATTGCGTGGCTTGCGTGTGAAGATACTGGCAAGCTCATTCTTGCTTGCATGAAACCCGAGTAGAAATTTTAGCAGGGCTAAATTCCCTGACATAGCGAAAAAATTCCACCACTGATTTATACGACACCCTTCACATAGCTTCATGGCCGGGTTCCACACGTCCATACCATCTACACCGTCTGCGTCATCTTCAGTACTTCCTCGCATCATCGCCCTTATGTGATACGTTCGACGTCACCGAACGCGCTCCACCTTACTCAGTACCTTTACGGGCACGGGCACCACCGACATAGCGCTGTATGGCGCTCGTCCGAGTCCCAGCCGAGCTCACCTGACACACATGTCCGACAGCGTGAAGACGACGTTGTTCTTGACGGCCGTCACGTCTGTCACGTCCAGGATCTTGCCGAGCGCCGGGATCACTCGCTTGGCCATCTGCTCGTGCTGCAGACACAGCTTGCCGAGCGTGGCGATGGCGACCGAACGAAGCCGCGGAGACGGGTCCTGCAGGCCGGCCGAGGAGGCGCGGCCCCCGCCTGGCGACGGCGGGGAGCGGTCAACACGGACACGGCTGTGGGGGGGGGGGGGGGTGAGCTGGGAGGCAGCCGGACTGACCACAGCCCCACCGACCACTGGCCCGGGCCACACGCCTCCACTGACAGAACATCCGCCGCACATAAAACAGGGCGGACGGTGCGTGTCACCGACCTTTCTCCACGTAGATGAGGTTCTGCAGCATGAGGAAGCAGCGCTTGTTGACGCGCGCCGGCACCAGCTGCGCCAGGTCGCCGAGCGTGTGCACCTGGCGCACCAGGCGCTCTTCCCAGTCGGGGGCGGCGCCGCCCGACGGACGCAGCAGCTGCTTCGACAGGTAGTCCTCGCAGTCCTGGCGGCGGGCGTTGCGCGTCAGGGCACTCCCACGCCCGCGCGGCCAGCGCATCATCGCGCACCGGCCGGTCGCAACAGTCCCAGCCACATGACGCTGGCGCAAAACACGCACGTGAGGTTGCCGGGCGCGAGATGTTGGCACGCGGCTTAGCTGGCATTGACATACGTCTGGGATACAGGACACCAGGCTGTACCGCTCAGACATTAGTGTTTTATTTGCTTGGTTTGCTTACGCTTTGTACTTGATAACAGCCACCAATCGTGTGTCATGCTAAGAGATTGCGCCCAGCGAAGAACTATTTAGTTGCAACTGTAAAAATGGCAATATCTTCCCGTTCGTATGGTGCCTTTCGTTGTCGGACGTTCATTCCTGTTTCTCCGCTGAGCGCGTCGGAGTGCTGCGAGTGCCTCACCTCGATCAGCGGACCGCACCACTGCTCCAGTCGCGCCGGGTACTCCTCCTCGTCACCCGTCTGCAGTGTCACCGTGGCCAGCGTGTCGACCGCAGCCGAGATCAGCTCGAGCGGCAGGGCGGCGGCGCGTACCATCCCCGTCAGCTGCGCCAGCAGCCGGGCGGCCGCCGGCGCCGACAGACGGCCCGCAGAGAACTGCAGCACGTGCAGCGCCTGCTGCAGCGCCAGCACCTGCTCCGTCTGCCGGCGGCAGGGGCGCGGCACGGTCAGCAAGAGACGGCGAGGTCGCTGCACCAGACTCCGTGTGCTGCTGCATACCCGCGCCACACGAACACGCGTGGCTCGGTTTGCCTGGTTAGTTAACCCACAACTTTTCCCCAAAACTCATCAGACAAGACAGGTGATGGCGGCCCTCAGTGACAGCGCGGGCGAACAGCGAGCAGATAGTCCGCCAACACAGTCCCGCGGCCGGGCCGGGAGAGGACGCAGCGCACCTTCAGCTCGTTCTGGATCTGCTCGGTGAAGAAGTCGAGCGCAAACAGCGGCTGCTCAAGCGGTGAGAAGCGCGACACCAGCGCCAGGCACATCCAGGCCGGCACGCTGTTGGCTGTCGACACGTGACTGCGCAGCGCCCTGCACACCGCCGGCCTGGCGGAACACGGCCGTCATCGGTCACGGCCGCTGCGGCGACAGCCATGCAGCCGGCACAAAATACTGCTGGGGTGTTGAATACAGGGAGGTGCGGGAAACGTAGAGTTTGTGAAAAGTAACACAGTGCCCTTGACTACACGGAAGAGCCTATGCCCAGGCCAAAACATGTGGATGCACAAGATTCCAAAAAGGCGCAGGCATCGAAAACAAAACAAGCTCAAAATGAAACAAAAACGCCTCACATCATACACCTTTCTTCATCAGCGTTCCCAAATCCATCCAAAAGGGTGTTCCAGGCGTAAATAAAACCCACGCCATCGGAATCCTGGCTCCGCGGACGCCTCCGCACGCAGTTCAGTGGCGCTATCCGTCGCTCCTTGGCCCCAAAACACAGACATCTGACCTCCCCGGCCCACTTGTCAAGCCTGAAGCGCCTAGATAATGCGCTGACCACCGCCCGGTTAGATACTGATTGGCCGATTTTGACCCAGGGCAGCAGGCAGTGAAACCCAAGCCGGTGGCATAATAGCATCAGAATATGACATCCCTGCCACCCAAGTGACCAAACAGCGATACACTGTGCTATATATTCATGTCATGCACTCAAGCTACCTACAGGTCTTCTCAGCATCACTGGCCGAGGAGTAATGAGAGCCAAGAACAATGAGAGTCAAGAGCAGTGAAAGCCAAGACAAACAAGAATTAAGAAGCCTGCTCAAGCCTGCTTGAGTCAAGAACACTCATCCCTCCTTGCTTCCTACCAAAGCCAACACGGAACACCACCAAAACAACGACGGCTACCTCTTTCCAAACTGTATCAAACACATACTGTTATGGCCTGGTATGCCAGGTCCGACTAACAGGATCGAACACTATTGGCTAAAACATGCCCTAGTTCGACCTTGGATGACCTCACTACACCATACTTTCATTGCACCGTGCAATAATGCACATCTGTGAAACCGAGTGAATCAATATGGGACAGTGCTAAACGGCACACATATGTAACTTACGTTATCAGCAATTGGTCTATCCGGCATCCCGACGCGAAACTCCAGCAACATGGCTAAAGCAAAATGGCTAAGCGCACAGGCTATATTCACGCAAGACTTAAGCTAAGCTCGTGAACACAAACTAAACCCTTTTTCATGATGCGTGTGATTTTTGCAAATTACGCTGAGAATTTGCGCATTCAGTGCAGGTCATTAAAAAACAAGCAAAAACATCAGGGGGCTTTGAAGCTCCTAATTCGTCTGGGAAATATTCCATTCAGTCCGTTAAGTCATAATCGTATCCCTTAAAGGGAGTCTCCCACCCTTAGCGCCTACTTCCAGAGCATACTATAGAGAGACGTCAGGACCAGCCACATCTCAGAATAACAATGAATGGTGCGACTGCAGCACCATTAATCCAATAAGGATATCAATTCTAATCATTTCCAAGCCCAACTTAAGTTTTCGACGCATCGTGACAACACTACACTTCTCCCCCGCGGTCGTGCCTGCCGTCGTCATGACAACCGCCGTGGTACCTCCACTGGTGCGAATAAAAGAACGTTCGTGATTGGCCCAGGGGGCCGCAAAGTCCTGGTACCAAGAGGCGCAATGGTTGAAGTTTGAATCAACGCGTCAGTATGTACCATGTGATACTGCCATTCCCAAAGTCAAAGTGCGCCTCCAAAAAAGCCACTGTGGTAAATGCTATTCAACCAAACACCATTCCCCTATAGGGGATAAATCAAAACCATCGCATGCCTTTTGATTGAATTCGTGGGGGTAATAGCTTGAGGCTCGCATTTCTTTTTGTCTAAACACCATCCAAGCTTTCGTATTAGTTATTACACAAACATTTTGACAAATTTGTGTGTTGCAAAAAATACAGAACACACATGTGGAAAAGGCAAGGCAAATGAAATGCATTGCCTCCATAGTGGCGAGCAGGGAGTCAAGTGAGATTTCTCCCGCAGGAGCCGGTACTTGACAACCGCCGATCGAAATTCTGACAATCGAAATTCTGAGCTATTCAGAGGTATTTCGAAAAACTGGTATTACTGATCAAATCGCACGTGCCTGATCTAACAATCAGCGAAAAGTACAAACAAGGTGACATATTCTCTTTTAATAGGCAAAACAGGACACAGACAGCTCGCAACATGAAATGTTCAAACTCAAGTACTCACTTGATTTCCTGCCCAGCAAACGCTGCCTGCATGACTTTGTGCAGATATTTTTGGAAGCAGAGCTTGACGATCAGGTCAAGCAGTTTCCAGGGCAGCTCGCCTTCGGGAGAGGTGGGCGCATGCTCCTCGTACGGCATGATGCCCGCCAGGATCGTCTGCTCCACAAACTGTCGGCACACGCCACGGGACACGTCAGTGACGCCACCGGGCCCACACTCACATCAAACACACCAGCCTTGTGGCGTCACACAACGAACACATGCAGCACAATCTGTAACGCAACAAACGGGCACAGAACTCTTGCATCATCCAAAAACGAAAACTCATATTTGCGAAACCAGAGGCAAATTATAATTTATCGTGAGACAGGCATTCATTTTCATGAATGCAGCACACACATGTCGGTCTATATCTTTCACCGAGGTCACTTTCCACACGATCAGGACTTTGCACTTCCCCGGTTAGACGAAGTTCATCATTAGCACGCGATACGTTATTGCACATTTCCCCTATAGAGCACCCTGGTGCGGATCATGGCAACATTCCCTCTTGAGACCGGCCAAAGCCGACAAACCGTGGATATCAGCAGCGCGTGCAGCCAATCGACTCTGACTACAGCGGTATGGCCATCCTCCAGCCAGTCACCACCACCGTCTGCCACGAGCCGGCCACACCTTCCGCCGCCAACTGCCGGGTGCGGCGCCTCACCTGGACCACACGCTCCTGGACTTTGGCCTCCGGGTCGTGGATCTGCGGCAGCAGGCCGCGCACCACGGCCTCGCGGACGCGCGGGTCGTCCGGGTACTGGCCCACCAGGCCGATCAACGACGACTGGCACTGCTTGCGCGCCAGCAGCGCAGGGTCCCGGCAGTGCTCCAGCAGCACCTGGTGCACGCGCCACGCCGAGTCACCGACCCGTCACGGCCGCTCGGGGCAGGCGCAGGCGGTGACCGGCTCAGGTGTCACCAACCCGTCACGGCTGCCCAGCCCAGGCGGTGACCGGCTCAGGTGTCACCGACCCGTCACAGCTGCCCAGCCCAGGTGGTGACCGGCTCGGTAGCTTTTGTTGCCAGTTCCCGGTTCCGCGGTGAATAATACGCAGTAAGGCCACAACATTCTGAATGCGTTCCGGCCGCGCTGACTGAGAAGGAGTGAACGCTATGACAATTTCGCACATGGATTGGATATCAACACAATTTTGGCATCTCAGCATCACTGAAAGAAAAGCAGCATCCACTGTTCATCTTGCAATCATAACCAAGGGGCACAAATGGCAGGCTGCCAACACGCCTCCAACAAGTGGTTTGCCTGGCAACTTGTCATGCTCATACAAAAGTAGCTGTAAAGTGGGCCTAAACTCGAGACAGTATCCTATCACCAATACCTCAGTGGTGACTGGACAACAACATGAGTTGAGCACGCACGACAGCAATGGTGAAGTGACAGCTTGATACTGGCCCAGCACACAACACCTGACCTGACCTGACCCGACCCAGAGCCGTAGCTGCCCACCTGCAGATTCTCGGACGTCACGCAGCTGGCGTTCAGGCGCATCACGTTCTCCAGCACCTGCAGCGACGACTTGCGCACCATCACCTTGTCATCGCGGGCGCGGCGACGCAGCATGGCCAGGATGTCACCGCCGTCGGCGTCCGTGTCGTCCGAACTCTCCGACTCGCTCTGGTGGTGACGCGGTCAGGTGACGGAGGCGCCACGCGCAGACACCACGCACCGGCTCATCGCCTGGGAGCTGTTAACATCTCCAGCCGCCGTCATAATAGTACCGCCTACCCGCGGGGCTGGCAGCCACAACACCGGAGTGCTTTAAGTAAGTCCAACTCATTCATTCTTCACACGATTCATTTCCTTGGCTGGGCACCATGTAAAGCGTAGGACGGTGTTGTGGTAGTCGTGCCTGGGTACGGACAATTCATACAAGGCCCGCCATCGCAGCCACCAGCCATCGCAGCTTCAGCATATACATAGCGCATTCTCCTGACATAGACGCCTGGGTGGTTGATTGCATCGCACACGCACGTGTTTAACAGAGCCAGACAGAACACTGCTTCCCGTGCATGGCGCATGGCTCCCTCCTGACGTGCGATCCCCGGCCGCGGTCGGCCGCCTTCATGCCGTTCCCCGGCAGTCTCTTACCCGTCGCTCCGGCCGCGGTGGCAGCGGCGGCGACGGCGGCGCCACGCCGACCAGCAGCTGGCGCACGGCCTCCTGGATCGCCGGCCGCTCAGACACCGTGCACTCGGTCAGCACGTTGAGCGCGCGCGAGCGCACCGAGGCGGCCGGGTCACGGCACTGCGCGAAGATCAGCCGCACCAGCAGCGCGTGCGTCTGACGCCCATTGCCGTCGTCCTCCGGCGGCGCGTCCGAGGCCACCTCGGCCTCCGTGTCGCTGTCGTCACTCGAGTCGCGGCGACGGCGGCGCGCGGCGGCCGGCGGTGCGCGCAGCCCATCGGCCAGTAGCCGCGACACGACCTCCAGCGCCAGCAGCCGGTGGCCGCTCTTTTCGTGGTGCGCGAAGTCGCACAGCCACTGCAGTGTCTGGCTGTAGAGCGGCGGTGGCATCAGCCAGAGTAGTCGCACCACCGACTGAGCGCCGCGCTGCCGCTGCTCGGCCCGCTCTGGCACGCGCACGCACACGTTCTGCACGAGCGTCAGCAGCGCCGGATCGGCCACCACACCTGCCGCCGCCACCAGCTGGCCCACGAACTGAACGGCGTGGTCGCGCACGGCGGCCAGCGCGCGCGGCGGCTGCTCGCCGGCCATCAGCAGGGCGGGCACGAGCGCGCGCAGCACGAGGCGCACGCTGCGCGCCACGCTGCCATGCAGCGGCCGGCACACGGCCGTCAGGCAGCAGTAGGCGTTGTGTGGCAGGGCGGCGAGGCCGGCGGCGGCGGGCCGACCGGACGCCGCCGGTTGCGTCTCCAGCCGCGTCACGCTCACCAGCGTCTGCACCGTCTCCTCGAGGCTGTCGGCACCGTGGCGCAGTGAGAAGCGCTCTACCAGGAGCTGCAGGTCGCGGAGCAGGCCGTGCAGCAAGCGCAGCAGGCGCGCGGCCGCCGCCGGCTCTAGCGCCATCTCGTCTGCCTCGTCCTCGTCCAGCAGCTCGTCTTCGGCGCGGCTGGTCTTGCGCGGCGAGCCCGAGCGCGCCGCCAGGTGGCCGAGCAGCTTGAACGAGTCGAGCGCCCGCGAGTACATGACTGGGTGGAACACGCGAAAGGCGTTGCTGCCAGGGATGGCCAGCAGGTTGAGGTAGATGGAGGCGGAGAGCAGACCGTAGTGACGATCCTCCAGCGACGCGGTCGACTTCTGGCCTGTAAATGACACGATCACAAGCTGACAGAAAAGCACATATGCTGGGACAAAGCGCTATAGGCATTCAGGTGGCACAGTCGCAAAAAGAATAAGTTTGTGACTGCCTACCAGAGAAGTTGGGAAAACAACTTGGAAAATATGCTACTCAATGGTACTCACCGCGAGGACACCATTCATAGGGTAAAACAAAATCACGTCATGGCCTATCATGTGCAACACGTCCTCAAATGGCAGTGCACGCTGACCTCTCCCTTTAAACTAAGGTTCCGGCACAGGGAACACGGGAGAGTGTCCTGCGTTGGATCATGCTTTTTGGAAATAAACAACGGAAAACGATTTTGAGTTATGTGAGGAATTCCCGGATGAAAGAGCGTGAAATTATGGGTACACATAAACGGTTCCTCCTAAAATATAACATTTCTCACAACACAGCCTTAAAGGTGCTGACTTATGAGGACTCGTGCCGTAATAAATCAGACCCAAAATGTTTCCAGAGCCACCTGGCATCATTGTACGTCGTCAGGCGTCGGCCGTAGATCGGTGCCGTCCTACCGGTGTACATGAAGTAGAAGAGCAGGGCCACCAGGTGCGTGTGCCGGACGCCATTCTCGGCCAGCGCCGTCCACAAGGCGCTGGAGGCGGCGCTGCGCTCCAGCACCGAGCCGTCGGCCGAGCACTCGAGCGGAACCGGCACCAACAGTACGGCCGCGCGACACACCCGCCCTGCGGCCACACACGGCACAGCGACGCCATCAGACCGGCTGAGCGGCGCTCCGGCAGCCAGGCGGCACAGACGGCGCCTCACTGCCAGCTGTCAGGACCTGGTTCATAATGGGTATTCAGCTCCTGCCTGTGCCCATCAGAGGAAATGGAAGAGAAAGACAGACATGCCTTGTAATATAATGGACCTAAATCACGAGCACAGCAGATAAGACAAACCCACACAAATGGAAATAGGCATGGGCCATCTGAAACTGTTGTATTTTAAAATGTCGTTCATGTCAATAATGCTGTACAATGCATGTAACTTCCAGGAGTGCTGGTACAAATCGTGTGCATGCATCACCACATCACGAAAGCATGTGCACTGTGAGTCTCTTTACCTGTCTCCTTCAGGAGAGATGCCCAGTTTGTTTGGGCGTGTTGCTCCTCAAACTGGGTCGGCAGGGCATCACACTCGGTGTAATCGGCATCGACCACAGCCTCAACCCATTTGGGATCGAGTGCCTCGGTGGCGTAGTTGTTCAAAAGGTCAATCAGGGTCGCAGTGTCGATGTCTTCAGATTCCTCCATCGACCCCTGCCCAGAGATCAACAAAAAAACGACTGCAGAGGAAACAATGGTGGAGATGTTTGTTTTTGCTTCGTCACATACTTTTGTCAGTATTGGCATGTAAAGCTGAAATGGTTCAACGTTGTGAGAAATTCTCCTTGACCTCGCTAATTAGATTATTGACATAGCAACATAAGCCTTGTGCCCAATTGCGACATATTGCCGACGCCAATTCATTATTTCGATGCAAACCCGATAGGACGATGCGATACAATAGGACGATACGACGCAGCGATAACACGATACGATACACAACCGTTTCCAGCTTAAGAAAGATCGAGTCTAGCGAGACACGGCAATAGATTGGCCTCAATGAGATCTTGACGCTGGTAACAAGTTATGCGATGCTAGGTCAATAATTTTTCCTGTTAGGCCGGATCAAAATTCAAATTTTCCCCCAAAACCGCACTATTCGGGTTTATATGCTCCTATGAACGATACCATGTTCCGTAGCAGAACGAAACTTGAACAACCATGTCCTTTGTCAAATTCTGAGAACAATGGTATGCAGTTCCAAGTGTTTCGAGCACATCTTTATAATGTCTGTCCTGTTAATGTAACGGCGTCGGCTCGCCTCGCACGTTCTGAGGCACTGTCGGTTGCTTCGCCCGCACTGCGGTACACTGCGCTTCGCTGCGCGGTGTACCGCAAAAACCGCCACTGCTCCGAAACCACAAATGCCAGGGACACGTTTTTTGGTGTCAAAACACATGCAACAGATGACCCATAGGCCACTGAAAAATTGGGCGTAATTGCGCATCATGCTGGAGAGATATGCCCGCAAAATCTTATGGGAAGGGGAAGAATCACATCGAGCCCCCACCCTCCCTCTATCAGGGCAAAGGTTCAGGCATGCCAACCTCTTGGCTCATTTTGAACATACCATAATTAGAAAATGTATTGTAGCATGTTTAAAAAAAAACACTTATTACAATCCTGCAAAGCAACATGTCACAGGTTTTTGGAACAACACTCATATCCAGGCATGCTGGAAACCTGAAAAATGGAACTGATAGTTGCCTGGAAAAAATGGAACTGATAGAACTGGTTTTGCCTGGGGTTGATACATTTGCCTACCCAGCAGCATGCAATGATTATTTAGGGTAGGGGGAAACATGTACCCCAGGTTCAAAAATCCCTCCTAAGACCTCATAAATATAAAACCCCCAAGATCTTGGATCCACTCTTGGGATTTATGCCAGATTGCAAAAATGCATGCTACACCAAACATGTCCACAATAACCTTTTGGCAACTATTTCAGCACTTGTACACTGTAAATCCAAGCACACAAAGTTTGGATCACACTTGCCACCTATTTCCACACACAGAAAGCCAACATTTCAAGGAACTGTGGTGATGGAAATGTAGTATTAAGCATAATCCATCCTGCAAAGAATTAATCCAGTATGCCTTAATTTATTCCATGCAACACCAGTATGGTGAACCTCACATTATTGCGGGCCAAATTTAGGCCACGTCTATTTGGATGAATTTTCCCACCATTTTACAAGTATTTTTGTGTTTTACCTGAAACAATGTTTGCATTAGCACAACGTCCTGAAACATTGGCTTCCTATGTGCTGAAATTGGTGCTGACCACACACCAAACTGAGTGCTTGGATCTATGAGGTATTTGGGAGATGTTCCACTCAAGATGCCTTTTTACAGCCTGGGCATACTCACATATAGCTCTGTCTGATTTTTTTTAAAACATACTAAGTAGTTAAAAATTCAGCACAACTTGGCCTGGTCCTAAGCTTGGCACAAATAATCTGAGGTTCAGTACAACAATGGCACATAGGTAGGGGTGTCACTTTGAAGACTTTTGGGAGCCTGAGCTTCCCCTCCCCCAATGCTGACCTGAGCCTGCTCAATTTTTCTGAGCCCTCAAGCATATGAGCAAAAAGGAAACATTGGGCCTATGAACTGCTGCAAGTATCTGAAGTACAGGTGCATTATGTCCTAAACACATCACAATCTATATAATCATTATTTATTATCATTATGACTTGACACCAGCTTAAAATGGCAAGTAACCTCTCAACACTAAAAAACTGTGGAATCAACCTAATATGTCTCAAATTCTCACTTTGACATCAAGGATGCCAACTGAAGTAGGCAAAGCTGGGAAGAAATCTGTATCTGAGGGCAGGTGATGTGCACTTTATTGGCTTCAGCCTACAACCAATTCCAAAGATTGACAGCACTGTGTTTAGGTACCTGGTATAAGCAATTGAATTTTTGCAGCTTGGGACCCAAGGACATATTTGATTGCTTGGGATTAGTAGTTTATTCATAGTTTTGCTTTAACATTTTTTGATCACAGTTGGATAAACTTTCCATGACCAATTATATGAATAAATGAGCTAATGACCAAGAATGCAGTCTGGCCCTAAAGAAACATTACAGTCTATATATACTGTTCTATTATTAAAAAAGTATGAAGGTGTAAACATGGCCACCTACCCTATTTGGTGAGTTCATACTGCAGGTAAGATTGGGACTCCCTTCAGCTGTCAAGCATCATTTCCACCTCAGGTCAGTCCGCAACCACCTAGAACACTAAAATGGACCATAGTTAGTGAGTTCACAGCAATGACAACCTGCCATCTCATCACAAAGTGGTGCAACCATGATGCGGAGCTAATGGAGCCTTAGTCCTTTTTGTAGGTTCTAACATTTCTTCACAACACTTCTGATTGTGCTTATGGGATATGGTCATCAGGAAAGCTAAACAAGTTCCCTCACACATAGACACTTCTATGGAGAGCAACATGGAGAACAAAACAGCCATGGTTTAGAAGCAAACCTGGTGGCTCAATAAATCACATGGATTACAGCTGAAACAATTGTTTCACACCATGGTAACCAAACATTGGTAACTAAATCAAATGTTAATTTCTGTACCTTTCAGCATATGCAGCATCTGTAAGTCTGTTTACAGTACACAGGAACTGTCAATGGAGCTGGGACTCGTTCCCAAAAACACATTCCATCCATCGCAAATCATCGTAGCACCGCTCCCTCCTCCCAAATTATGCCAGCGCCCGACAAATTGCTCTTCAGTAATTGACAGACATGAAACTTTACAGAGCAAACATAGATTACCACGCACAGCATGCCCCAGTAGTTTCCAACATATCCCACAGGCCGAGCCTCTCGGGAACCAACGTATCCCCTGGACCCCGTGTTCAGGCCTCGCTCTTGAACTCGCTGCTGAACTCACTGCTGTTCCAGATATGAAAAGTGGCGCCTTTAGTAACTGGCGCAATGTTAGAGGGGGATTTGAACTCATATTTGTATTCACAATATGTGAATCGAGGTTAACAAATCTCACTTTTGCGTGGATATACAATTATTATTTAGAAGTTTTTGACATAAAAATATCCCCATTTATCTTGACCTTATTTAAAACCATTCAAATTAGTCAGATATTAGTGAATGCTACGTTAACCCAATATAAAGCATTGAAAGCTTATGCACTATCTTTACTTTGTGTAATTCGAGTCCAAAGGAATATTGGCATTTCTTAAGAGCCACATCAAATAGGTGAAAAATAGATATAATTTATACCCGACTACTTATTTTGAAGGCTTCAAACGCACTTTCTAGAGCTGACCACAGTAATGGTCGTCAGCACGATTCATCCTTACTTTGCATTGAATTAATGGTAAATACTTAAAAAAATTGATCAACATCACACAAAAGTGTAAACCTATGTGCAAAAAAGGCATATGCGGTATTTTATTTGATTTAATACTGTTTAAAACCGAAAAATTGCATAATTGGTGCTGCCATCCTTTTACTTGCAACCATAACAAGTAGTTATTGGAGGTATACTGTCCACCTCTTGTTGTTTACTCGTTCATATTTTTGTCGCGATCATTTCGTTGCATTCGCCGCATTGCCACCCAGTGATATATGTTGCTTACCTCTGCTCCAGGAGTTGTGGATGGGCGCGGTTGGAGGCTGGTCGGGTGTGTGTCTGGTGATTTGCGTGTTTTATATCAGTGTGATGCGATGGTTTAAAGCGTCGCAGTTCTGACAGGTGTGCAGAAATCTTTTAAATATGCCTGCTAAAGCGCATCAAAGCATCAGAGACTTCTTATGGAACAGTGAAGAGAAGAAGTTCCTGGGAAGGACGGGCAGTAGCTGGTGTGAGTATCTACGTTTGTTCGCAATGTCTTGTTCCATTTTTTAGCGTACAATTTAAATTGTATTCACTTATACATGTGTATATAGTATATATATATATATATATATATATATATATATTGTGGAGACAATTTGTAGAGCTTGTATGGTGAGCCGTTATGTGTTGTCACATGCGCATGAAAAAGTATGATGGGTTGGCTTGTTTTCATGCGTGCCAAATGTGCAGATTGGCTCCATAGTACAGTCTAAGACAAAGTCAGATTTGTGTAAAGATGGATTGATACATTCATAAAAACACTTACAATTGTCCTTTACCTGCAATGGTGCTTTTGGTTGTTGTGCAGCCTGCATCTAATGTGCTATATGCCTGTGTAACATCTGTGCACTGAAACTTACTTTCATGTGCTCCAAACTTAAGCCAGGACACATTGAGCTGAATTTTTAAACTTGTAAGTGCAGAAGGTGTGTTCCAGTAATTTTGTTGAAAATGTCTCAGTATTACATCTCATCTTGGTACCAAGCCAGGACATAGTGAGCAGAATTTTTAAACTATGGAAGTGCAAAATGTGTGTTTGGGTATTTTTTTTAAAAATGCCTCAGTATCACAAGTCCTTAAAATGTTGTTTCTTTATGCTGAAATGGCACCATGCCCAGATCACTGATGGCTGGAATTTTGGTCTAAGGTGGTGACCCAATGGTGGCTGGTCCTGTCCTGCATCAGGTCCTTTTTCAGGTCACTGCTGCACCTGACATCTGACATGCCTAGAATGCTGACTACCTTCCCAACAAGACATGCTCATCTGGCATAATTTGTGTTTTTGAAGAGCAGGGTGAAATGTATAAATATCTTTTCCTTGAAGGGGTGGTTCACCTTTGCAAGGGGTTTTGAATTGAAAAAGCATATTAAAGAACTAGTTGGCATTCATGGCCCTGCCCTTCTTAAGACTTAACACCATTTAGTTTCTAAGCTATGCACCTGCAAACATGCAGACTTTCTGGTAGACTATTCCAATGTCACGCAGGCATCCATATTACCACAATGACATCCAAATTAAGTTATTTCATCACATATGTAGTGATCAATGCTAACAAAATGTGATAATCAGATGGTCCATAACTGGCATTTTTTAGCATTATTTCCAAACATATTGGCCATCAATTGGCTCTCAATGAATGTTGTGCAAGTTTTAATGGCAATCAGATTATGACATTGAGGAGTATGAAATTGTGTTTTATATGATAATATTTTCCTTTTAAAAGAAGACTGGTAGCTAGAAGCAAGCTCATTTTGTCATATCTTATGCCCAGTTCAATATCTTCACATATAGAATATTCCTTTTGACATTTTTTTTGAAACTGGAAGATAATTTTTGTAGTGGAGTGCAAATTTTCCAAACTAGAGGACAAAATTTTCCAAGCAATGTGAGTCATTTTACTATTGATAACTAATCATTGGGATATTACAGTACAGTTGGCAGTACCACACAGAAAGGCCTTATTTCATACACAGCAATTCATGTAAAAGCACCTCAAAGGTAAGAAAACATGAACATTAAACTTGGTGTACTGAAATAAAGCAGTCCCAAACTCTATACCATGGAACACATGTACTTATATGTGAGTGGACAATCTGGAAAAGTTTTTCCATGGATACCATGGATCTAGGCAAGTTTGTTTATCTTAAAGTGGCACAGTAAATAATGGGCACCTTATGTCATTCTCCCAAGGGTCCAACAAGTCATTTATTGAGCAGTGCAATGTCACAAAATCAGTTTGGAGCTGAGCAGGGAAAAATGACACACAAAAGAATGCCAGTGAGTGTGCCACAGACAGCCACCTATACACATTCCACCACACTCATGCTACTCATGATCCACCACAGTCACGCTGCTCGCGCTCCACCTTCACAGCTTTAAAAACGACAAAGACACGGCAAAATCCGCGTGACTCCTCCCTGTCACCTGCCGGACACCGCGCGGGGCCCCGCAGGTCCCAGCCGAGTAAAAGATGCAGGCAGTACTCTGACCGATTTGCCGAGATTGCGCAAGTAAAATGCCTGACAGACCCGTCCGTGCCTGCCAAAAGGGATCAGGGTCGGTCACTCCGCTTACTCCGGCGGATATTTGTATCTGTCATCAGCTGATATTCCACATACATACGTGGCTATTACGCGTCTTTAGTCTGAGAGATAAAACAGTACGTCAAAAACAAAACACAAAAAAACGGAAAGTGATCAGGGATCAGGGATCAGCTCACACGCGTGCATGCATGCAAACACAGCCTGAGACTTCCCTGTCCCAAGGAGCTTCCAAGGTCGTCACGTTACGTCAGTGATGTAGTAAAATCCGATACAGTTTTTCACTACACCACTGTTGTGTGTGCCCCAGCTCAGCTGGCGCTCAAATAGCACACCCAAGTTTTTTGTTCCCAGCCTCTCCCGGACGCTCTCCCCACCGACCCGTGCGCTCACGCGGTGCAGTCCCCGGGTGTTCTGTCGGTCCCAATGACAAGGAGGTCGGTTTTGGATGCGTTGAGTTTGAGACCATGGGCATGGAACCACGGTACTAGGAAGGACAGGGTGGTTTTCGTGCGTTGGACGAGGGGGGGGGGGGGAGGGGGAAGGACAGTCGACGTGTTACTAGGAAAAAAGGCCTGTTCCATTTCAGGTTTCAGATGAAGCTGATGAAAATGGATGGAGTGAGTTAATGAGTACTTAATTGTGACTTGATCATTGTTAATTAAAATGCTGGCGACTGTTGTGATTGCCTCGTCCACACGAAATCGACTGTTCAGTCTTATCTTCCCTGCGTATCTATTGTGGGTGGCAAGCAAACTCCAATAATGAATTCCTTCTTTTTCAGTGAAGATTGGCATATTCTACGTTATATTCTACGCATGTCTGTTAGCCTTCTGGACGTTATGCCTGGTGATCTTCTTACAAACACTGAACTTGCGGGAACCCAAGTGGACCACCAAAACGGGAAGCTTAATTGGAGACAACCCAGGTGAGTGGTTCCCGGCAATCTCTTACCGATTAATTTAAAAGACATGAAAGATTAAATATCCTGTGTTATTCTCCTCGTGAAATATCTCAGTTTCTTAAACCCCGCTCAATGTCAACGACAGATCTGCTGTAATCCGGTTGGTGTCGGTGTGACTCCAAAATCAGTCAAATGTTCTTGGGACTCCGTGGAATCGATTTCTTTGAACTTCTATGGTGTCAAAGTTGGAATTGAATGATCCAGGTCGTCGGTGAGTGGGCTCTAAACAAAAATGCCCTTTACGGAATAAATTGAGTCTGGTAACTAGTATGAGCTCTGAAAAGAACAATCACATGCATCTGTTTTGTATAAAAATAACACTGGGATTTTTTGGCGTCTATGTAAATGATAAGTTTCAAAGCTACCGTAGCCGAGATATACAAAGGAATCGGTTCTGAAAGAAAGCCATGCCTTTTTGTTGGGGTAGGAATTGGCTCAGATTTATGAGGTACTGCCCTGCATATAGCGTGTCGAAATCCAAAGTTTTTCAGTGTGAGACGACATAGTTTCACTATCTTGGGCTCCTAGTCTTGTATTGTTGTAATTTCGGTCTCCCATTTGCAGATAGTTTGAATTTTTAATAATTTCCGCCTTCTTCGGGGCGGCGGAAAAGGTATTTTGGTTTCTGCGGGAACTACGGCTATTTTCTTTTTAACTTCCTGCGTGAGAGTCCGAATCAACCATACCTGCTGTGAGTATAGGTTTGAATCGGCTTCGTGGAAACTGCATCAAGCACAGGTCTGCTGATTTGGTTATCATACCTCATTTTGTCATCTTGGTCACCCATCTTGTCACCACCTCACCTTGCCACTTTGCAGCTTTCTCAGACCGGTTAGTGTTGGGGGGGGGGGGGGGGGGGCTGGAACGCTACGCGGTGAATCTGGGCTTCTGTGCCATTGTGTCAGGCTGTCGTGCCCGGCTCCGGAGAGGGCTGGCTGGCCGGCGCACTGCAGCCCGGCTTACTGACGTCCGTGTTGTTTGTGGTCGGCTGCAGGACTGGGCTTCCGGCCACGGCCACCCACCAAGTCCATTGAGAGCACGCTCATCTGGTTCAATCAGGGCAAAGGCGAGAACTGGGGACACTGGGTCACGGAGCTGACCAACGTCACCGAATGTGAGTACGAACTGTAAGCTGTCGAGACTTGTTATGACTCATGAGTATGTGAGAGTTCGGAATGTTTGATTTGTGGAATATAAGTCTGACGTTTCACATAAATGATAAAACTTATCTATACAGTAAGGTTTATTGCAGAGGGATATCAGAAAACAGGGAGGAAATAACTCGTCCGTTGGTCGGGTAACCGGGCAAATCCACACACGTATCCAGCAGAGAGCCGCGCAGGGGCTCTATTTGAGGGGATGTTTGACGGTTGTGTGAAGTTCGGAACTTGATAGCCGGAATACTGTACACAGATATGAACGGGTACCAGGCAGTTCACTCAGCACTCACGACGCACTGCCTAGGCATGACTTAACGTCACTCAAAGCACCTTTCCTGGGCTGACACAAAAAAAATGCAGAGCAACGCTTTGAATATCCATTATCCACGTACTCTGTGGAGTTATATTTTGTACATTGCTTTTGACCCGGGACAAAATGTTAATGAGCGTTACGGCTGATAACTGTCAAAGCGAGAGGGCTGCCAGTGCTCAGCCGTGCTCAGTGTCGTGCTGCATTGTATTACGTGCCGACATATCGAGCCATTCTGTGAGCCATAGACACCTGGCGTGATGCGGAAAACGAAGCAACGATTACGAAGCGGAGAAGAGCCAAGGCAGATGAATGGGGACTGGTAAGACGTAAGGATTGCAAGACTGGATACGGGGAATGGGGGGAGGGGTTGGGAGAGGAGGATTGGTTGTGAGACTGCGGGCGTCAGACGACGCTGAAGCTGCGTAGAATAGCCGGACCGTATTATGTACTGAGCGGCACCGTCGTCAGTGGCTGGCGCCTATGTGCTGGCTGGCCTTTGCTGGCAGGCTGCCACAGCATATGCGACGGCTGTTGTTGGCCCATTTGTATGACTGAAAATAACGTATCGTTTCGTTAATAACGTAACGTTTTAAAACGTGTCACAAATGTCGCAAAGAGTCCTGGGTAGGAGTTAGAGGACTTCGGTGTGCCGAGTAGGTGTTTTGTGGGCGCAAATGACCAGTGCAGTTGATGCATCCTTAAAACTCAATGTCTAACTAAGGGATGGGTATTTTGCTGGCTTTGTCGGTTGCCATACGGAAGCGTGCGGCTCATAAGCGATTATCGGCGCTGTGTTCAACGGGGTGTGTCTACAACCGGTAGTGCGAAGGTGCCGCGTATCTCATTTACGAGTGGGGCCTCAGGCCCCCCGCCCCCTAAGGTGTTCCGGATAACTCCCGAACTGTTTGGAACGCCATAATAAAGCTTTGTTGAGCTGAGTTTGCATCGTTTTTTCTGCCTTGGTTGTGAAAATTTTAAACCTGAAGTTGGTGGTTCATGATCAATGACACAATGTCATGACGGTGATGCTTTACCCAGAAGCAACAAATAACGTTTATATTTCGCATAAAATGCGCTGCAAAAACGTTGTCTGTGCTGGCCGTATTAATGCCACTGAAATGCATTACTGTCGTTCGAGTGGCTTGTGCGGGGTCAGGTCAACCAAGGGCGTGTTAAATCAAACTTTGAAATCTGTGCCATATGAGACCATTTGTAGCTCATGTGATTGTAACTTAAATCGCATGATCTTGCAGGTTTGGGAAGCTCTTCATTGACGTGACTTATTTGGTTCTTGATAAAGCCGTTCGTATCAGTATAACAATAACCTTCATGATTTGACCTCACATGACCTATCGTAGGGTTTATGCGTCGGTGCCCGAAGGTCTTCATCTGATAGGCATCCTCGAGCTATCCAACGCCTTCTTCCGCTTTGTCGTGGGATGCTTAGTTCTTGAAACATCAAGAGTCTATAAAGAGCTAATTTGGCCCCTTTAAGGATGTTCGAACCTTCCAAGGTCGCGTTGGTACTATTACTTAGTTACGACTCTCTGGTACAGTTTGATGACGCCTGTAAAATGCTGTTTTTCCGGCTGCTTTATCGTGCTTAGTTTTCAAGATCCCAAGGAGCCTCTAATCAGCCGGTCGAAGGGTCAAGGTCAAAAACTCTCACAGGGCGAGGGTTAAACTGACAGCAAACAACAAGTTTAATACGCACCTCTGAATTACATGTGTTCCTGAAATATCAGTTCCAAAGTTATGTCTTTTCAGTTGTCTTGCCTTCAACCATCCGTTTTTTTGGTGCTTGGTATTTGTTATTTACCGCTCGTTTTTATGATGCGTTATGACCTCTGTTGAACCCTTCACCTTTTTGGGATCACTGCCATTGTTTGTCAAATAACGCGCTGGCAAATGTTCTCTACACGCGGCATATTACCCGCACACGGGCTTTCCCGCTTTCAGCCGCGGATTCCAGCCCCTTCGCCTTTCTACTCGGCCGAAGGGAATCACATGGATTGTAATCAGTAATACTCTGATGACCGTGAAGCCTGTGTTTGATAACAGCCATCTTCCTTAGGAAGGCCAAGACGGGATCAGGTGATCCCTACCGTGCGCGATTTGGTCATGCTCGCGCCCGTGATCGCCATGCTCACTAACCTGGCTGGTAGTGACTCATGTTGGGCGCTGTGACGCCTCACTGACGGTGTGCCGTGTGCTCGTGCCTTGTCCCGAGATGGGTGTGAGCGTGACTAACACATCGGCTTGGCTGACCTTGCCTCCGTGTCGTTTATCTTGCCGTACGGCTTTTCACGTCAGACAGTTCTTTAAACTTGTTTCTGATGCAGTTATTTCTGCAGCATGTTTGCGGCGTAGACAATTTAAATATAAGTTTGGCATGCTCCATTTCGTATCAAGCATTTCTTAATATATGTGTGATATCACTCCGCAGTGCATTTATTGATGCAGACAGCTGTTGCTCTGTCACATGTGTCTCCATAAATATGTTTTTTTATTCACTTGGGGGGGGGGAGGCTTCCCCCTTCCAAGTATTGAAGAAAGAGGGCCAAAGCCGGGGTGAAGTATTTGTTGGCGTATTTTGTGGGTAGGTTGGATGATTTTACATTAGTCACTATCCCAACTCATTTTCCGAAACTAATACTCCGGTGTGATGTTCTGTCTCACTATAATGGTTTCATGTGCTTTTGTGGATCTGTTGTCTCACCATCAGTGATTGTTATAAGTGCAGAATTAAATTTTTTGTTATGATTTAGAGTGTCTGACAGTAAATCGGTACATTCACCACACACCAGCGTCTTGAAGTAAAATGGTATAGCCCAGAGTAAATGGGACTAAGCATAGCATTGCAAAACAATGCTACGTATGAATGCCAAATGATATGAGCACCAGCATGGGCTCATCGAATGAATCGTGCATCGCGAGGCATTGAGCAAGGCCATTAGTCGTTTTCTTTCATCTTGTGCGGGGTAAAGCTCATCAGTGCCTGTAAAGGCTGGACGTTTTATAGTCGTGGCATGGGGGCACCGTCTTGGCATATCTATGAAGGGCCCCGTGCGACAACCACCCCGTCGCTGTCTAGGAGGTTCCCGGGCATTGGCTGGATTTTCTGTTCGTGAGTCACCCCCGATCGAAGGGGTAACTTGATTCCTGACAGCGCTTCCCCGCGTGCGGCAGCGTACCGATTCGTGGACCCAAACGCTGGCGCCCAGCTGACCACGTGCAACTACGACAAGCAAGCTGGCAAGAACCAGTTCTGCGAGTTCAAGATCGACGAGCTCGGCGGTCGCTGTACCAAGGAGCGCCGCTTCGGCTACGAGGAGGGCCGTCCGTGCATCATTGTAAAACTCAACAAGATCTACAACTGGGTGCCGGACTTCTACACGAGCGTGGCCGAGCTGCCGAAGAAAATGCCGAAAACTGTGCGTGACCGGATCGCCCGCGACTTCACCAACTCCTCCTCCCATGTGAGCGCTCCGACCGGTGTGTGCCCGGTTGGGCGGGCGGTAGGCGGCCGAACGTCCGATCTCCGGCCGCAGCTCTGTGTGTGGGGGGGGGGGGGGGGGGGGCGTGCGTGCGTGCGTGCGTGCGTTATCGCAGACGGAGTGTGCTGGGCGTGTGGTCCGCTGTCTGTTTGTGGCGGTCGCCGCTCCCGGGCCTCTGCTGACGGCGCTGTGTGGCCCGGCCGCAGATCACCAAGAAGAACGTCTGGATTACCTGCGAGGGCGAGAACCCTGCCGACGTGGAGAACATCGGCCTGGTCAACTACTACCCGCACCCGGGCATGCCCTCCTTCTACTACCCGTTCACCAATGTGCAGGGCTACCAGAGCCCGCTGGTGGCCGTCGAGTTCAGCGACGTCAAGTGTGAGTTGACCGGGGAGACGGCGCCGCTGGCCGCCCGTCGCCCGGCTGTTCTGCTGCAGTCGACAGTACAGACTGTTTGGCCACACCCAGCGGACCGTGCTGAATGCAGGAAAACAATGTAGGAGATTTGACTACGTGAAAGGAATCTTGCAATGGATTTGTTCCAGAATTGGTCTCACAGTGGAAGTGATTTGATAGAGCCCTCTAGCAGGAGCCTGGCTGAGGTTGTTAAAGAGATGGTGTCTGTGGCAGCAGTTTGGGCAGGACTGGCGTTAAATCATGCATGCTTGTGTGTATTAGTAACTTTATTTTATTTGAGAGCGCAATGGTCGGGTACATAGGGCTGTGGACTCACCCGTCGGGGGTGTGGCCTGGCCTCAAATCCCAGTCGCGCCATATGCCCCTGAATGCTGCTGTGGACAATCCAGTGTCTTATGGTCCGAAAAGGGGCATAATGTCGTGCCTCGAGATCCTTTTTTTAAAGAGATTTGTCCGTCTAAGGAATTTTAAACATCTGTTTGATATATAATTAGCCATGCAATTTAACAGTATGTTGCGTGCAAGTTCTCATATTTCCTGTCGTTATTTTCTCAACCCGTCTTAGTCCTGTGCTCAAACAATATTATGCTACAAGGGCATCTATCCTGTGCATTTGCTGTGAGCTCTGCGATTGGATCCACTGCATTGAAAGGCAACCGAGTGACGCGTTTCATCTGTAGCGTTAACGCTGGTCACTTGTAAATAACGCTCCGCAGTACGAGATATGCTTGATAGTCATTCATAGCCTTCATGGCATGCGGGATAGCTAGATAGCTCGGAAGCTGAGCTTTGCGATAAAGCGGACGGAAAGCGTAAACATAGCATGCGGAGCATGCGTGATCTGTGCGGATATTTACGTCAGTAAGACCAGATGTAAACGGTGCACGAGTGTGCCTGTCATGATGTCGGTCAGCGGTGACTGTTACGCCCCCCCCCCCCCCCCCCCCACTCCCCTCGATGTCTGAGCTGTCTCTGCGACACTGCCGTTCCTCTGACGCCCTCCCTCTCCCCTGCTTCAGCCGGAGTGCTCATCAACATCGAGTGCAAGGCCTGGGCCAAGAACATCAAGCACGACCGGAAGGAGCGCCGCGGCTCGGTCCACTTCGAGCTGATGGTCGACTAGGCGGAACCGGCCGCGGCCCGTAGTATCTTCTTAGATGGCGGGCGGTACCTGGGTGCCAGACACCGGACGCCGGGAGCCGGGAGCCGGGAGCCGGGAGCCGGAGCCGGGAGCTGGGAGCCGGGCGCGGCCGAGACGCCCCTAACAGTGAGCACCGCCGGAACCTCAGCGGGTCGGCGAGGGCGTTGGCCCAGGCCGCTTACAAAGAAGTATTGCGCAATCTCAGCATGACTAGTGAGTCTGATCTCTGTGTTGTGCGCGAGAGTGAGAGCAAGAAAATTCCTGGTACGTCCGGGATTAGTCGCTTGGTGGGGCGTCACGAGTTCCCCGGATTTTATTTGCGGACGGTGTGTTTTACTGTTTTGATCGTTTGTTTACTGTCCGAACTGCCTGTCGAATGTATGCGGTAGTGCCCGTCAAGTCGGTAAAATCGCTTGCTCAATACGTTCACATTCACAGTCACAATGCAAGCACATGCACACGTTGTCACCCCGAGACAGCTACCATGCAGCTACGGTTGGTCAGTCGTCCATTGGTCTCGTTGCACACGCCAGCTGAACCACCTGCACAGGGGAGCTGCTATCCCGCGCAAGTGGAGGAGCCAGAATGACCGGCCGACGGCCGAGCGCCCGTTTGTTGTCCGACCTTTGATATAGCAGCTTCGATGTAACCGTGTCGAGTTGTCCGGCAATAGCCACGTTGGAGGCGCGTTCCATGGCAGCGGCGGGGCTGCTCCTGTTCCGATCGGTTTGTGCAAGGTATCGCCGTTCCGTTTCGATGCGATGAATAAATCCCGCCGAGTACGTGTGTGTAGAGCCCGCTGGCTGCGGCGGCGGCGCTTCTCACGGCTGGCCGCTGCTCGCGGCTAATCGGGAGCGAAGGGATCGATGCCGGACGGGCCCGCGACCGACGGCAGGGGCCTGCTGTGGCGTGACCCGCCGGCCGCAGCCCGCCCCGCCAGCTCACGTGTCTAAACGGACGACTAGTCGAGTTTGCCGCTCCCCGCGCCTGGAGCGCCTCAGTTCACCCTGCGGTGAGCAGGTTCCAATGCCAGCCAGGGGTTATTTGCGCCGATCGGGGGCCCCTGAATCATTGAGGGCCTGTACTTCGGTCAGACACCACCAGTACCGCTCAGTGGACTCCGTGTCGGCATGGGCCTGAGGCCCCACATCCGAAGTAGGAGCGACATCAGGCCTAGCGATTTCCGCTGCCTATGTTTGTGAGGGACCCAAGCCTACCAAGGGCAGTGTTCAATGAGACCCGAAGAGGGGCCGGGGCCACCGAAGCCAACGATCAAGAGCCCGATTGGGTGGCATAAGGGTCGGTAGTTCACATAAAGCATCCCGGCCAGGAGGGCCGTGATCTGAAAAGTTAGTCAGTGGGCCTCATGCACCGATCAAGGGCCCTGAAAGGATGCGGGGGTCTTTGTCGGCCAGAGACTACCAATACCGAACTGTTGGCCTCGTGACGGTCCGAACCCCGGGGCCCCACTTCCCGAACAGGAGCAAGGCCAGGACTCACTTTTGCACTAGTCTGGGTCAATGAAACGATGATCGGGCCCCCATGTCGGCCAGGGACCCACAGCGCCTTACGGCGGGTCAGGTGTCTGCAAGTGGCCCTGAGTTCATCGCGGAATTTGGGGAGGCCAGAAGAGCGGCCGAAGGGCCCCTCGGGACCAAAAATCAAGGGCCTGATTGGGTCCGGGCCGGGTCCTCCCGTGGTGCTGTGACCTGAAGCGTCAGTCAGAGGGTCCCTTTAAAGGCCCCTATCCCTATTATGCAGGACCTTGACACGACGCTAAACAGTCTGCTTGGAGAAGGTCTGAGCCCTGAGAACCCATTTCCCGAGCAGCAACGACGCCGTGCCCGCAATTTGCAATGTTCTAGTTCTCTGAAGCAGTGCGCGGCTTTTATGTCGGTCAGGGACCACAGTGCCCGACAGAGGCCCAATGTCAGCAAGTGGCCACGAGTCGGCCAGTAACCGTGTTCGAGGGCGCTCGAAGAGGGACTGAAGGGTCTGTCGAGACCAGAGATGAAGGACGCGATTGGAAGGCTGAAGAGCCCAAGGGGCTGGCTGCAAGTCACGTTAAGGACCCCCGCCCGGAGGGCCGTGATCTGAAATATCGGATAGGGCCCTCTTTATCGATTGGGGACCCCCTGGCATCGTTCCTCTATTTTGGCTAGAGATCACCCAACACCGAACAGTCGGCCCAGTGTCGGTCTAGGCTCTGGGGGCCCATTGACCAAGCAGGGACAAGGGCGGGCTCACGATTTGCATTGGTCGTGGCCACTGCAACAATGCACGGTTCCTGTGTCGCTTAGGGGCCCACAGCGCCTAACAGGGCGCTAACAGAGCACCGCAGTGCCGGTGACAACCAGGGGCCTCGAGTCGGCCAGGGGAACCTTTGCTGAACAGGACGGGGACGGGACTGCGAATGCGAGATGGCCTGTTATATTGATAATGAAAGGAAGCCTGATAACTTATGATGAGAGCTCACATTCAGGTAATGGATGGGCCCTGTGTCAGTGGGGACCCCCAGTATTTAACGGTGGAACATCCAACCCAATTTCACCCCGGAGACTGGAGTTTGTCCGCCAATTGTTGGATCACCTGCGGTGATCCAAGATCCCTGATCACCTGCAGTGATCAGGAATCCTGTTGCGCCAGTGAGGGCTCCTGCGTCGATCCGGGGTCAACCGCGCTGTTCAATGGCCTCCCGCGCGGTTTAATGGCCTCCCGCGCCAGGGAGGGGACCAAGGTGTTACGATGTATCCTTCTGGGGAACTCCGGATCGATCCCGCCCCCGTGTCGCTAAAATGGCAGCCGGAAGGTACCCCGTGCTGGGATTGAATGGCCCTTCAGCCCTTGACCGGCAGCGATAATATGCACGTAGTGCTCACTTCTCAAGCGGGTTCTATTTCTCGAGAAAGGCAAGGGTCTCATAAGTGTTGAATAGAGAAGGTCGAAACGAGTTTATAACTCAAAAAGGTCGACCCATGTCTGCCCGGGAACGTTCATTCTTGTGAACAATCGGCTAGTCAAACAAATGACATCAAAAAGTTTTCAGCCTGCCTGCTCGCAATCTCCGGAGCGCTAACAGCGATGGCTGGGGTTCCACTTTCCGTCAGACCGAACGACGTTGGCCAATGCAAGTAGCACCACAGGGCGGACGCCATAATCGCAAGAACGACCGTCGTAAAATAATGCTTCCAAAAGGTCTTTCAACATCAAACCGTGCCGTACAAAGACAATACTGATGCTGGGCCGCATTTTTATATGATTTTGAAGTCGATCTTTGGACGTGTAAGCAGTCGCCGCAACACGAAAAATGGACCCTCTTCCTTTAAACTTCCAGGTCTGCCACCAGACTTTCGTCCGGCTGTTGGCCACCGCTTAGTGTTGTGGGACAGACCCCGGGCAGCCCACAAAGACTGCAACACCGGGAGTCGAGGTTTTTGTTGCCAATATTTCCGAGTATGCATGTTTTAAATTAAGCTACATAATTTTTTCAATAATCAATTCCGACTGAATGTCGAACATTTCCAGGCAGACATGAGTTGGTCATGGTAATAAAAAAGCGTACCCATTTCGATCTAAAATCTACGCTCACCGGGCGCTCAATATCTCTGTAGAACTCGGATCAAAACTCTGGAAAAACTTCTGAGTTCTGTCAGTTAAGAAAGGGTTCACTGGACCATTGTAAAATAAAGAACACCGGCGAGTTATTCCATGTAGTCGCTTAACGCCTGATTTCTGCAGTGAATGCACCTCAAAATTCGAGCAGATTTGATTTCGGAGTAGCTCCTGGCTTCTGTCCCAGTTATAGAAGACAAAACTAATAATAAAACAGAGAGAACCGTGGCCCTCATTATCAAGTAAACCATAGCCGACCATATTTGTGGGGGGGGGGGGGGGGGGCTTTCGCCACCAGAGGCCCCTTCTCAACACTGCCCCCCCCCCCTTCCCTGCGAAGGTTTTGGCTGCGTCCCTGCATAAGGCAACGGACCTTTTTCGCGTTGAGAGGAAGCCATTGGAATGATATCCATTTGGATTATTTCTTTCCAGTCAGTGCCCACAGGGCCGATGTTAAATTTTTGGAAAGTTAGGGATCTCAGCCCTTGCCCCATCCCCAGTCCCTGTGTTCCACGGTGATGCAGCATAAGAAGCAGGAGGAATTTGCATGACATTGACCATTTACGAGGACGCTAGTTTTTAAATGCATGACGTCCCATCAATTTATATTTCATTCATGCGTCGTGAGGTTGTGATGGTTTGCGACCTCGCCCCTCTTAACAAAAATTGGTGGATCCGCCCTTGGACGCATCAGCTTCAAATAGGAGCCACTCCTTAAAACAGGTTTGGAACGAACTAAATATCATTAAATTTTTATTTTGACATCAAGGGATCAAGGTTTGGGGCTAGCTTCAGCTTTATTGGCTCAGTCCACAAGTGATTTGATAAAATGACGCCCAGGGCACTAAGCCTGGTCACTCATAATCGTCGTAAATCTTGGTATGACCGGACATAATTTGACCGAAACGAGAATACCGCCACGGGCAGTGAATTTTGGCCTAAAATCAATCGACCCTGATCTAGGTACACTTAAAGCCTATCCTGACATATTACAGGAATATGGAGACTTCGATCAACCCCTGGGCCTGGCTCGTTGTGGCCCAATAACTGGCTCGATATCTGTCCCTGAGCCGGCAGACCGCCGGTGGTCCTGATCCTAAGTCTAACTGAGCGCCAAACCTTTCCGACGATTTGATCACTGACTTCTGGGTAGAAGTTACGGCCACTCAGACGGTGATCGCGGGGGGGGGGGACAAATAGAAGAAAACGCCGTTATTTTGAGCCCACAGCAAAGCAGTGAGACAAACGCCAGTCAGACGCACCAGGATGGCAAGCATCGAAGAGACCTGCCAGCTGACGAACGATTTTTCTGCCCTATTCACAGCTGACAAATTGTGCGTGAATATGGGACCTTTGGTCTCCTCTGACTGCTGCCTGTAAGGTTTCTAAAGCTTGTGACCCGTGTGTTCCTTGTGATAGTTAGCATCCTTTGCAAAAATGATCGCAACTGCTTATCCATTCTTATGTTGCTGTGGTCCCCATTTATCGTTTCTTGCCATCAGGTGGCATGCGTGCTTTTCAATTGCGCCCTTAATGGGCAGTGTCCTGCGATCGTCTACCATTTACTTGGTCGTATCTTGCATACTTTTTCCCAGAGCCTTATGCGTTCCAGGACCATTCCACTAACTTTGACCTCTGTTTTTGGGTCCCATCAACTAGCTTAGTGAAATGAGTTCTTAATCACGTGGTGCCCCCCTCCCCCCCTGCCGCCGATGGGATCCTTCACCACACCCATGGGCATTCACTTGTCTCCATGGTCCTTCCTCATCGCGGCGCCTCTTTCCCGTCGTAGTGCTGAGCCATCGATCCCTCATCGACCATCCCGAGCTGGCTGAAGGTCTCCTGAATCCCGCGGCTGTGCGGGAGACGGCCGCGAGCCGGCGCGGCGGCGGGGAGCGAGCCGGGCCGGCCTGCTGCACCGCCGCCGCCGCCGCCGCCGCCGCCGGGCGGGGCGGGGCGCGGCTACCGGCCGGCCCGCCAGCCCAGGGGCTGTGACGCCGGCGTCGGGTCGATACGGGCTCAGCGGCAGACAGCGCCGCCCGGCACACGCCGTCGGCCAGCGGTCACCGGCCGGCACGGCGGCACCGGCCCGGACTCGGACAGCGCGGCGCGCCACCGGCCCGGCCAGAGACCACGGCAGCGGCCGCCGAGCCGGCCGGCAGTCGCACTG